CTGTAAAAGGAAACGTACATTATATGATATATTTTGTGTTTCATCACCACAAACAAACTCAACGGGTTCAGTAGCACCCTTGCGTCGAAAAATACCGCCAAAAAATTGGTGCTCGAATGTTGTGCCATCTTCTTTCCTTCTCTGATCTTCCACCAGAAAATCATTATCTTGAGGTGTATCCTTTCCAGTTTGACTAACAGCATGTGTTAGCTCGTGCATTAGATTTGATGCCGGCCAAATCATTCTTTCGTTACCATCGACGTGTTCAAACATTTCTTTGGCTAATAATATCATGATTGTTACTGTTCTTGTTGTTGATTGAACCATATGTCTAGTTAATCCGAGACATTCTGATGGTAGTTGAAATTTTCCTTCTTCAGTGTTCAATTTTGCACCTAGAATAATTGAACTAAGTGAGAGAACAATGGCATTGAATCAGTAACGGTATCGCTCATATTTTGTGGATTGATAACGTCGTTGATCGTAAGGAACTGAAAGAATATGCCCTGCTTGCAGAGTTAAACGAAATCATAGATGGCAACACTTTGACCGTAACCCGGAAAGTCGTAGGACAAAGATCCATTACCCATGGCATTTCTAGTCAAAATGATCCACTATATGCTCCAAAAATTTCAGACTCACATCTCGTCTGGTTTAAGACATTTTATCTTTGTTATGTACGTGTCCGAATTCGTGTCGCTCTGCAGTCCATTAAAAAATAAACAAAATTTTTGATCAACGTGAGGTGTTTTTCGCGTGCATAGGTTTCGGGATGAACAACTCTCTTTCAACAGAATACCCATTCAATGTTTTCGTATTCATAAATAAAAATCAAGTCGATTTTATTTATTTTATAATAGTAATACCATTATTGGTAAAATTTATTAGAAATACTTTGACACTATATTTAAAAAGGAAAACAATCCCAAGTTGCGCCAATTATAGCATGTGATTAAGAGAGAGTCCACCGGATCAGAGAGGAAGTCCATAACAACAAAATTATATTTCTGATTGCACTCATTTTATTCTCCGTTTAGAGTTACTCGTAAATACAAGATTTTAGATTTTGGATTTTAGAAATATTCCTTTTGAATTGTATAATTTTTACAGAAATAAAATAAATAATAATAATAAAAAAATTCTACTTCAATATATTGAATCTATATACAATAAAAGCCATAATACAGGAACATAATAACCAATTAAAAATAAAACAGATATTAGGAAAAGCTGACAAATCACAGATGTTTCTTTTTACGCAAATAGCGGAGCTCTTTCATTTTCACTCGAATGTGTGCTTCCACAATACGACACAGATGAACTTTATCATCTAGTAAACCATTTTCAACATTCGAAGTATATCTCAGAACTATGCAGTGATTCGTTTTGTACTTGGTTATAAACTACCAATAAATCGAATAAGACCATTCTCCACTCGATTGTACAAAAAAAATAGGGAAACACCAGTGAGGACCGCCAAAATTTGGTTTTAGAGGAAAATTTTGGTTTTTTGGGTTTAAAGTTTTGTTGAAATTTGATTTATTTATTTAGTTAGCTTGGTATTGAAAACTAACAAAGTTTGTTCGTTTTCTTTTACTCTTTCGTCTCATACATGATTCAAATTTTTAAAGCAACAACGGAGAAAGAAGAATCAAAATACAAAAAATAACGATATCTAACCATTTCTGCAGGGCGCTTTTAGAGAAATTCTGTATCTTAGCCTTTTTAATGTTCTAAGAATCTATTGGTAACTTTGATTAGGCTATCTAATGCATGACCAGAAAAAGTAGATCAGGTTATGCCTTTTCTTGACTGTGCTCGATATTAGTACTAACTATCTCTTAAAAAGAACAGAAAAAAACTTATTTTTAAATAAATGTTCAAAGGCAGCAACGCAGATCTTGCTGACATTTCTTTTTTCCTTCGAATTATGAATGTTCTACGGACGATCGTTGATCGTCTTGAGACCCGAAATACACTAATATGAATAAGAAAAAAAAAAGGAAATAACCAACAGAATTTTCTACTCATATGACTATATAGACGCGACGATGTTTTTATTATTCTGCATCTAATGAAAGAAAACGAGAAATAAAAAAAGAAAATTACTCTATTTTTTCTGGCAGATATAAAGAGAAACACACACACACACACAGTTTTATACAACAAGTATAGTCACTGTCTTGTCGAAAATACTCATTCTTATTGTGAAAATGTCCGAAATAGGTAATAATAAATCAAATGTTTCTGCGCTAAACGAGCAACAACTATCTACACTGGTACGTGGACATTTATGCGTTTACTCTCAAAATCAGCACGTTCGTCCATCGAAGCGGATAAAGTTTTCTTTCTGATAAAAAAATGGACGAACGTGTCATACTTACGATGAAATTATACTTTTAATCTTTTTCTAGCCACCAATTAATTTCAATCGTGTAGATGTCCATAATTCATTAAATAGTGAACTCGTGTATGAGAGATTCAACGACATGCGTCATTGCATAAATCAAATACTGATTAAAAATCATTCGATATTTAACTACTGGCATCATGTACATTACGGTCATATATATCAAACAATAAATGTAAATCTCCAAAAAACTGTAAAAGAAGTTGAGCAGATGTTTTTGGAAGATGTCATTAACGAAGAAGAAATTAGTAAATTAGTAGCGTATATTAATGAACGCGTAGAAATTATGATCGATGTTGATGTAAAAACTTCTTATGGTAAAACCATAGTCAACAAACAAAATTATGTCATCATTTTAAACTCATTTTTATTTACAAATAATATTCTAAATGACTATCAACGAAATTTTCTTGGCTGCGCTGTTCTATTCTATTATATGACACGGACAATGCGACAACTGAATGATGATATGATTAAGATCAAACATATTTCACTTGATCCAGGAGCACGACGATGCTCATATGCGCAATTAAACGAATACACAATACCGATACATAAGTTTTTTTATTATAAGACCTATACTACCGGTGGTCCATGCTTTGATAGCGGTAATGGATTTCAACATCTATTTTATAATGGCGAAGTACATTTTTACGAAGGGATAGATGGCAATGATTCTGATGTCATAATTACTAATGGTGCTCGTCGAACAAAATGGTTAAATGATATGATATTGAAAGAATTTTTTACTACATACGATTTAAATCAAATTAAATCCTGTGTGAATACGAAAGAGCCGTGGCATATTCTAGAAAAAGGTGGTAGTCGAGGATTGTGTACCGTAATTCTTGAATCATCAAATGAAACGTATTTATATAAATACTCAGTAAATGTTCGACCGAAATGGTATTATTCAAACGAAGTTATTTATCATACAGACTGGGATTGGCCTCTCCTTAATGGTATATCGACAATATTTTACATTGAATCAGATGATAAATATTTTATAGAAAACAAGCATTTATTCCAAAAAGTTAAATAGCGACAGGAAGGATTTATATTATCTACCTTATGTTGCCTAACTATCAAGATTACTTATGCTGTGATCGCGTCAGTAAAGCAACAGAAAGTAGTAAATGATGTATTTAAATGGACATACTACCCCTGAGTATTTTCATTCTTCGACTATTCAGCTTTTCTACCATGCTGCTATTCTGCTATTCTACAATTCAACTATTCCGCTATCGAAGTATTCTGCTATTCTGCTGTTCTACTATTCTGCTACACCAGAGAAATCAAAGGTAATGCAATCTGCATTATCTTTCTCTTTTTCTATACTACCCAGGCCAAAAAATCAGATTAAGATCTTACAGACAATACGATTTCATAAGATCTTAGTCTAGGATCTTACAAGATCGTGAAGTAAGAATCTTGTAAGATTCCTAGTATAAGATAGAGGCAAAAATCATATACGATTCTTGCACTAAGAATCTTACAAAACATACGATACAAATCTTACAAGACTTTGTAAGATGATACTGTAAGATTTTTCTTAAACATTCGAAAAATAAAATATTTCATGGTAAAATTTTTTCCATGTTAATCGTATTTTAATGAGCACAAATTAGTTTTTAAACATTAAAATACGTTGAACTTAAGTTGATATGTGTTTTACACCAATTTTTGACTACAAAGAATATGTGCTGCTAGTAAAAACGTGATTGGTCAATTGAGTTCGACCATTGTTTAGAGTTGTTTTAGGCAGAAAAAAAATAATCAGAATTCAAAAAAGATTAAAGGGAGTAACGAAAGGAATATAATACTCGGTTTTCTTATCTTCATTTCGGTGGTTTTTGTCTCCACGCCGTTCAGCTGAATAGAAACAGAGTAGTCGAAAGGGTTTTGAACTAATGAGGAATGTAGTCCAGCTGGTTAAAAGCCTTTTTGGCTGATATTTTGCTGATAGATTTTCATTTTTTCATGCTGTTTTACTACCAGTTTGCGCTCTCAAAACAAAAAAAAATGTTTTTCATTATCAAGCCTGTTTTCTTGCACTGATATGTTAGTAAAATTGTGCCATTACTGCTAGAATGTTTTTTAAGTGTTAGAACGGCTTAGTTAGATGATTAACGGCCCTTAAACGGTTACCGTAATTATCACATAATATGTGATAATATTAGTATATCGTATTGTATTCTTTGTGTTTCCAGTTCGATCAGTTCGGTTCTTTTTGATATACAGAGGATTGAGGCGCAGCCATTCCGTCTCATTCACAGGATGCTAGAATGGTTCTAGCAACGAAGTAGTCCGAGCGATAATATCCACTTACTGTGTCCACCAATATACACTTTCTGGAAGTTCAAGCGTGAATACTCGATGCTTCACATACGGCAAACGTAACCTTATTGGTAAAACTCATAATTGAATGAACTAAAAGGCATCAGTCTTTCTCACATTTAATTTAAGATCATTTTCAATCATATGATCGAATCAGAATTGCGAAATACAGCGAAGTGGGACTTAGTTCACCTGAGCAAATGTTTCTCAAAAGCAAACTCCAAAGCTTATCGAAACTAGATAGTTTAACAGTATGACTACGGCCTAGGAGGCGTTCATGTATAGTAGAAGAACAGTGGGCCGAAATTGCTGTGTACTTTGTATTAATACTGACTTTTCCTTTTCAGATACAGCTTATGGCGGGTATCGTCCCGTTTCGTCGACTAATTAATTTTTTTCCTGCCTTGTCGACAACATTGAGGCGGGGAGATGAAATATGTCTGTGAGCCGCCGACACTATAAAGTGTCGACCAAACGGGACTGAACTCTTATGGCGTGATGAAAGCAACATCTGGTTGGCAAAAATATTGAAAATTGATTTCACCATGTTCTCGAAGAAAAGTCCGAGTAAAACATCGTGGAATCAAGCATAGCGAGCTAAAAGCCTTCCACAGAGCTAGAGATCGATTAGGCATGCCTTTCTTCGGGTATGCCCTTGAGCAAAAAACGTCACTAGGTCGCAGTTCGAAGCAGTTTCCCTCTTTAAAACGGTGAACTACGTGCCGTTTTCGAAAAACGTCACGTTTACGGCCGCAGACTTAACGGGACGTTAACTTGGCCGTTTTGAACGGGCTGGGATGTATATGTAATCGCACAGATATATCTGTGAATAAAAAGATGTGTAGAAAGCAAAACTATAATGGAATTTGACACCAAATGGAAGCGGAAAAGGGAACGGATTAGCAGCTGCAGCAAACAGCACAAAATCAGATGAGATCCTGCAGTGATCTTACCAAATCCTATGATAAGATACCTGTACAATCTTATAAGATCTTATATGATCTTACTGTAAGATTCTATAAGATGAATCAGTTTCTATGATTTTCCATAAGATTTGTATACGATCTTGTACGATTTTTGTCTGATATTACAAGATCATACTGTAGGATCATATATGATCTTATAAGAACTTACAGTAAGATTCTTTGACCTGGGTACCGCCGCTTTCATAAGCTTTACTTTAATTAATTAATTAATTCTCTTTATTCTCACAAAGGCAAAATAACGGATATCAATTTTTTTGATCCCCAAAAAATAAGACTCTTGATCCCCAAATCAATTAAAGATATTTAAATTAAAGAAAATATATACAAGAAGAATATATGGCAATTTAATAGAAAATTAATTAGTGAACAGTATATAGAAGAAGAATATTACCCTCACAAAATCGTCAAATGATGCCCGTTGACCAGATCGATACAAATTATTTATGTTCACTTCTTGTATATATTCTCTTGATATTCTTTTTCTTGTCTGTCCACCAATTAATTAGCAATCAATTTTCTATTAAATTGCTATATTTTTTTCTTGTATATATTTTCTTTAATTTAAATATCTTTAATTGATTTGGGGATCAAAAGTCTTATTTTTTGGGGATCATTTCACTGTTAATAAATTTGGGGATCAAAACACATTTATTCCCAAAATAACACTTGTACGCAAATATCCAGAACATGACGATTGAATTAAATGTGATCAAATAATATCTAACCAAACACATTCAAATCGTGATCAACTTTGGGATGAGGATTTTTCTGTGCACGGTTTTTTCCAGAATTATGCACGGTTTGCTGTTTTCCGTGCACTAAAAAATCTTTTGACATTTTTGTGCACGGTTACAGAAAGGTGCACGGCAAAAAGACAAAAATGTGCACGAAGATGTTTCTGTGCACGGTTTTTGAACAGGACTTGGAGCACGAGTTGTATCAGCTCTTTTTTTATGATTATGTGTATCACTTGTCGACACAATTATTTCATTTTGAGAATTAAATAATACACGAAACTTGGAAACTACTTTCTGGATATTTTCTACATGACGAACAACGATATGTAACTTTAGTACCATCAATCACATTTTCCGTTCGAAATTTTGATACTTTGTTATGATTTAAATAAACATCCAAATCATCTTTTTGTAAATATTTATTAACAAACTCCAAACTTTTCTTGACATGATTTTTGTTTAAAGAAAAAATATTTAGAGTGTATTGAGAACCGTGTGGGTTGAATTAATTCTTAAAGAGATGAACTTCACTCTACACCAATGTTTAAGATTTATCATACATTTCAGTCAATAAGTCTCATTTGTATTAAACGAGACGTCTGTTCGTAGATCATCCTATTTGTTTAGGTCATCGGCATGTAAAACGCAAAAATATCTTTTACTCCTTGAAAAACCGTGCACAAAAACGTCTCCGTGCACATTTTTGTCTTTTTGCCGTGCACCTTTCTGTAACCGTGCACAAAAATGTCAAAAGATTTCTTAGTGCACGGGAAATAGCAAACCGTGCACAAAAGACATTTTTCCGCAACTTTGTTCATGAATTTTCCTTTCGAAAATTGAGAAAACAGTGCCTCTTTAATTATTCTCTTCCGCTAGCTAGTTTCAAAGGCTTCATTTTTTGCGTTTTTAAAGTCCATCGTGTGTCCTAACCGCTCAACATGTTAAACAGTTTTTTGAGTTAGAAGAACGCAGCCTAACTTTATCCCGATGTTCATTGCTTCTTATGGACCAATCCCGTACAGTATGTCCGTAAAATGTCTCAAACCTTAGTTGCTCCTTATTCCAATCTTCCTGCTTTTTGAGCTTCAGGGCGTTGAAAATCAGGTGTTAAAATATTCCATTTTTTTCCTGTACCAAGCTTTTAAATGAAATCCTTTATCAGCTATTATTGTCGACTGTACCTACGGTGTTATCATTGTAATTCGAGACAGCCGGATAACCTCTATTATCACCGTTGACATCGCCTATTGTTGGAAAAAATATGAATGAAAACTTTTTGACCATGTAGTGGGTGCTGTACCTCGAGGATTCATCCTATTGGGCTGAAACGTTTAGGACGTACATAACTCGTCGAGCTCTACAACATATATAAAAATCAGCCGATACTGAGACCCCTTTCATCGCGGGTGTCTGATTTTCTCAGAAACTCGTGCTTAAGAGACAGTAAAATTTTGAGCCCATCTTATGTTTCGGTCGGTTAAAGGACTCTGCTGGCTTTGAATATGTATCAAATAACTTGATTTTTTTTATCAGAAATGGAGTAGGCGGAGCTGCGTCGACTAGCACAAGTACTACGATTCTAGCATGTTATGTTTAGAAGAAAAAAACGTTGTAGTGTGCCAAAAATGTCACAGCGTCACAACTGGTCAAGCCGTCTAGCTCTTTCGTCGGCGTCGGACACCCAGAGGAAAGCAGCTATAAATTCGCGTAGTGGTGCTATCGTGTCGCGCTTTTAATTTAATTTTAATCCATTCCATGCTTGGGCACATTGTTGGAAATGGGACTTGTCAATTTCTGATATATTTTTGAAACTTCGTTCTTCAGCATACAATCTGCTCTAAAAAAAACTTTCAGACCACGAGAAGGAGCACATTCAAAAGTACAAAAAGAATTTCAAGGGTTTTCCTGAAACCCTTGACTTTTCAAGCAGAATCAGTTCTTCTCCACTAAAGACACATTTTTACCGAGAACAAATATTATAT